GAATTGGCATGTTGGAAACAGTTCCATCATCTTTAGTCCCATGTCACCTCATTACCAATTCAGCTACGTCTATGAGGTGAAGACAGAGATATCCAGCACTTTTAAAAACACAACTGTCTCACGCTGGTGAAATATCTGTCATCGTGCTGGTGAGATATATCTGTTGTCGTACTGGTAAAAAAGTAAAGACATCATGTCTTGAAGCTTTGGGAAGATGTTAGAAATCCAATGATAGATGGAGAGCACGCCCAAGTGCAAAAAAATACCACACATATATAACCACTTGATCATTCCATCTGATGGTACGTACTTTAATTATGAAGGTTTAATGAGTTTGAAAAAGATTCAATATATATATTTTATTAAAATTTATCTTAAATATTTAAAAAAAATTATTTAGTTTATTCGGTACATTAATAAGTTAGTCCAAATCTACTTTTTATTGTTGAATCACTAACAGGTTTGACATTCATGCATAATTAAGAATTAGAAAGTGTATAGCGTTTGGATTATGGGCATTTGATCTAATTGGAGTGTGATAAGATGCCCTAATTGAGAATGGAGTGGACGACAGGCCATGTTAGTGACCATGGTTTGAGTTGTTGAGAGGAAATGAATTTCCACAAGAGTTACCAAAAATGCATAGGCATGAGTTTTGGCACCAAACTAGAAGTGGGGATGGATGTGACCTTCAATTACAGCTTGTAATTTTAAAGACGTCTCTTATTTTTCGCATGTGAGTTGGGGGTGTGGTCATGTCCCCTAATAACTCATTTGTTAATGTCATTAAAATTATATTTTATTTGATTGATATTTGTAATTTTTAAAAAAATAAATAGTTATGATATTTAAAAATATTAATTAATAAATTTATTTTAATTTATTTAAAATAAATACAAATTATTAATTATTTTTAATAATTAAGTCAAATAAAATTAGTATTTTTTTAACACAGTTTTAATGATTTTAACAAAAAATTTGATAACCATATAATTAAGTACCACACATGTGAATTAGAGAAGTTATATATAGTTTCCTTCGTATTAGGGTTTATTGGATTTTCATTCTTTTTATTTCAATTGTTGGGGCCAAACTCATACCTAAACTTTCGTGGCTTATATAAACTCCCATTGCATTTAAAATGTTTCTTTAAAACTTTAGGTTTGTCCACAATTCAATGATAGAAGGATATGTTGGGTTTTAAAATTTTCAAATTCAAGTATCTCAATTTCAAGGATGAAATTGAAATTAAACATGATTAATTGCCTAACAATGATTTTTGTAAGATCAGTTTAAGAAAAATTAATTTTTACTAGTCTAATTTTTTAATAAATACTACAAAGTTAATTTAAGTGTATACATTATAGATTTAATATGATTTAGTAAACTTGAAGAAACTTTGCATGTACACAGTCAACATCAAAACCTTAATTGTAGATATAAGCTTTTAAATTTTGAGTTTCCTATTATACAGTTAAAAATATACAATAAAATTTTGTTAAATTTTTAATTAATTA